GTGAACAAGATCAAAAGCCAGAATATCATACACAAAGATCAAGGCTTGACACATCAGGTAAGCATACACTGAGCAATACTTAAATCTGTGTGAATGTTATAGCTATATTCTAGTTATAGCTAATTTGGTTTGGATTCAATCCAAGTGTCAGATCAAATAGGCTAATAACTATAAGAAGTCAATAATAAATATATAATTTTGAAAAGGGCGGGTTGTGATTTCCACTAGTGTAACAAAATTTAAAAATCATAGACAATGGAACTATTAAGAGTGCTAAGGAAGACCATAATCAGATGATTAGCATGTCTAAATGAGTACTAAATGAAAGAAAGTTGTCTTTTGAAGGCTTATAATTAGAAGATTATACTGTATATTGAACTTAGTGTCTCTATTATTTAAGAGACAATCAAAATGTCTTCTTTTCCAATGATTCTTTTAATGGGCACTTGAGAAAACTTGTGGTTGCATGAGAAGCAATGACATTTGAGGAAAAGGAAGTGCAAGTGCAGGTTAGTGTAAAGATGCAGCCCCAAAATCTCATCAGTAGGGACCAGAAGGAAATAAAATTTTAATACAAAGGTATTAGTTATTTCATGTGGTACAATCTCACAAAGTTGGAGAGCAATACAAAGCTGGTGTTCCAAACCAAACACAGAACTAGGTGAGTATTGTTTATTTCTGTCTTGTGCTTATCAAGTGGGAAAGAAATAACTATAAAAATGGGAATGCTGTCACTCACTCATTTCATCCCCTGCTGTGGAGTTTGGCTCCTTACACGCCTGCACAAAGGACACACAACAGTGAGTTGTTCACATGACAGAGTAGCTGAGATGCCTGCAACTGCTATCGATCAAGGAGCTGCATGATAGGGCTAGAAGGAGAAAGCTACAGACCACCTGTTCCACACACTCCCCTTAGGAAAGAGATACTGTTTGACCAAAATTTTGAAAGAAATGTCTCATTTTCTGTAACATTTATTTATTTATTTATTAAAAGTAATATTTGGAAATCTATCTTTTGTACTGATCAATAATGCAGAAGTCATAAACTAAACATCTAACACAAAATTTGTATTAGGGAGGCAAAGACTTTTGCACAGTTCTGTATCAACAGAATGCACATTTATTTGGAATCCTTTTCATATTTTCAAGTTTTTCAGCACATTCCACTGGATGCCATGCATTTTTGTCTATTAACCAGTAATGGACTGCATTCAAATTGCACATCATTAAATGTCAATCCAACTTAAATGGCTTGTTCAATATGACATTGTTAGTCTCTATATTAATATGATACATACACAGCCTTTTTTTTACTGAAACGCTTTCACAGTTGCTCTTTGAATAGTATTAGTAGGTGTGTGAGAATGCATTTTTTTTCCGTTGCAAGAATCTAACTAGAAAATTTCTCATTACTTTGACTTTTTTTAACAGTAAGCTCCTGAAACCTTTGCTATTTGTTATTTGGACAACTTGTTTTATATGGTATCTTATGAGTATGTGAGTATGTGTGTATGGGTAGTACAATCAAATAGATCTAACAGGGACAAAATAAAACAAAACCCCTCACAAAAAACTAATTACACCCCAGTGACCATGCCACACAGGAATTGGCTCCTACGTTTATTATTACAATTTATATAATTATATTTAGTTTCAACTTCAAACATCTCCCCCACCATTTTACCACCAGATAACTGGACCCAAATGCACAACCCAATACACAGCTGGTGGTTCAAAAAGGCTTTACTGAAGATTAAGGACCAAAAGGTACAAAAGATCTCAAAAATTCAGGCAGAGGTTTCCACATCACAAAAACTGAATCAGGATTTTAAAAAAGCAAGGCTAAACAGGAAATTAGCTCAAGAAAAGTCACTAGCGTTTTACTGAGAAAAGACTGGACCGCTAGGCTGTACGAAGCTTAGATGAACTGGCAGCTAGGACAGGGAACACAGGGCTTAAATACACAGAGACAATCAGACACAGGTGAGCCACATCAGGGCGGGGCCGTAGTCACACAGGAAGAAAACAGGAAGTGAAGCTGTCTGAAACGAGAACAGAGGTGAGAACTTTCAGAATAAAAGTAAATGTTTAGGCTGAAACTAATGCCGAGTTCACACTGCACGATTTTCAAAGTCGTCGGATCATCGTGGTTTTCACACTGCACGACTATCTGGGGTAGCGTTCAGTCGCTGCTGTGTTCACATTGCACTACGTTTCACAACCAAACGCACGCGAGAAGTGATAAGGAAATAACGCCAGATCGCACGTGAGATCAGAGTTCTCGCGCGAGACTGGAAATGGTACCCCGCAAGAAGTTCGCGATCCAAATGGTCTGTGCGCTGATTTGCAGCGAAAGGGCGAAGAAGAAAAAAAGAGTATGGAGGAGGAAATGGTTGGGGAGACGCGGGGAGCTTTCCTCCATTTCTTGGGTCCAAATAGACCGATAAGGAGCCTTTTTCGGCACCGAAGCCATGTTTTCTGATGTTCTATAACTCCTCTCCGAGCTTCCCGCTGGCTTGTGTCTTGCTCTCTCATTGGCTGGAGGTCATCGCCGATGTTGGTTTCAGTCAGAACTCATTTCACACAGCAGGATTTTGAATCGCCGACAGGTCCAGATATTTAGCATGCCAAATATTTCACGAGCGTCGGCGACGCATCGGCGATTCTGTCAGATCGCGTCTTTGATCATTCACACTGCGTGATTGTCACTCGCGTGAACGAGCACCGATTTGCATCCGATTTCAGGCATTTATCGGCGATTTCGCAAAACCTGTCGGCGAGTGTGAACTCGGCATAACTTGACCTTAAGCAGCAGATGTGACATAGCTAGGATGTTAACATCAAACCTACCACCACTGAGTTAGCTAGCCACCTGTTACATTTAAAAATAATTATAATACATTTATAGAGTGCCTTTCTTACAACGAGGTCACTTTACAATTACAAGAAACAAACAAAACACAGAGAAAAAAAGAGCAGATATGTTTCTTTACCTAACAGATCACATCTGCACTAGAGTTTAACATAAAAGATAGCTGAGAAAATATAAATGGCCATAATTGGTTCAGTCAAGTGACCAATCAAAACAAAGAGGAGGAAGTAGATGCAGTGGAGGCCAGTGTTAATGCGGATTTGAGAATGAAATGTATTGAATGAGTCAGTACTTTGTGGTAGTAGTTAATCATCCGGACATTGTATTGGAAACTACAAAAAAAATCAATTCAAACTGCTAAGCAATACACAATTATGGATCTTAGAGAGATCTATTGAATATGAAGTCTTCACTGAACATGAAATAAAGTGTCCTAATACGAATTCCACAATCTTCAGCTTTCTCGAGCAGGCCCTCTGATCGTGCTTTTTTGTTCATAGCATTAATTATTTTCTGTCTTCTTTTCCATCTTATGCACTTTTCTTCCTCTCATTTTGTTAACTAGCCTCACTGTGTACTATGTCTCTCCTATTGACAGCCTTAATGCGATTCCAAGTAGTAAACACTAAATAAATTCTGGTGAGTAAATATTAAAATATTTAGAATACTTAATAATATATTAAGTATTAATGTCTGTGCTCTTACTTTTATTCATTTGTTGATTGATTGATGCACAGTGGTGCAGTGGGTAGCCTTGTTGTGTTACAGCTTCAGGGTCCCAAGAGTTCCATTACATTTTCTCCCACCTCTACAGAATAGAATAGATTTTTATTGTCATTGTTTTGAACAACGAAAGACTGTTTAGCAACTCACAAGGTTTTGGCATAATAGACAAACATAAGATACAATTAAAAAAATAAAATAAAATAGACAAGAAGAGAGGTATTCCAAAAGGTAATATATACAATGGTTAGTGCAAGATATTGCAGTGCACACTGGGGAAAATTAAACAAAAGCAACAGTGCAGAATACAGTATACATAGTATTGTTGTATACTCTAGGAATGTGTATCAGGATATATGAATAATAAACATAAGTGTAACAGTATAAGATTTGTGTAAACATATGAGAGGTGTTTACAGATTAGTGCAAATATGCAGTGTGGTGTGTGCATGTGTACTATTGCAATTGTAGACCTGAGACATTGGTTTATTGTTCTATGCGACATTGGCTGTAGGTGTGACTGAATGCGTGCATGTGTATGTGCCCTGCAATTGATTGATCAATTAATTTCACTTCATTGACCACACTTTCTACTTTGTTTTCTTTTTCTTTTACTTCATAATATATTTATTTTATATTTATACATTATAGAAGAGTGAAAATCCATTTATCCCAGGCAGCACATTTTTTAAAATGTATTATTTTAATGAAATCCTGTGTGCTGGGAAATGAACAAGCCCAAGACAATGTCCTGCTATTTAAATGCCATGTTCCTACAAATGACTTGTCTACAGAATGTATGATTTGGCCATTATTATCTTGGCATGAGCAGAAGAAACAAAATGAAGGTGCAGTGATTTCTCTGGTGACAGTAGAAATTATCATTGGAAATGAAGAATTCTCAGATTCTTAGATGTATTACATGACACAAAATGCTCCAAAATGTTCTCATAGTTATCACTACAACTGTCACATACAATGTGCAAGGTAATGATAGCAAATATGAAACCATTGTAAAAGGTAAACCATATTAATGTGTAACATATTTGACTCAGAGTGAGGATCCATGTGCATAAGGTTTAATAGAGATTGTTGCAGAAAATGTGAAATCACAATCCAAAATCCAAAATGTTAAGGCAAGCAAAAGTCAAAACAAAATTGTTATCAAGAAACCAAGGCCAAACCAGGGTAATACAAATAATAATCTGTAACTGAACCTTCCACTATGCCCCTAGAGAACATTTGAGAACACCTGGGGAGAAAAACCCACAGGCAGAGATGCAATCAGGATGCTCTCTGAAACCTGGCAGTTTCTCAACCTCAGCTACTGATGTGTAGCAGTCTTAAGTATAGATGTTTTTTTTTTTTTTTTAAACCATGTACACACACTGACTATTTTTGGTACCCAGATAGCTCAGTTGGTAGCGCATGGGAATCTTGATCTCAGGAACATGGGTTTGCGCCCCACACTGGGTGCCACCCCAGTCGCACAGGCTAGTGCACTCTCTGTGCTTGTCCCAAGCCTGGATTGCATGTGGAAGGGCATCTGGGATTAAACCTGTGCCAAATCAATATGCAGATAGTGGAATGTGATCTGCTGTGGAATGTGATCAACCCCTAACAGGAGCAGCCTAAACAACACCACCACACATTTAGTATTTTTGTTTGTACTTGCCAACAACAATTTTCTAAGGAATTTTGTTGGTTCTGTTGCCCAAACTATAAACAAACTAGTGACTAAGGATGAATGAATGTTCATGTTAAGGTACTACAAGCTTTAATATCTGACCAGTTGCTCACACTTGCATGAAAGTAAAAACCTGCCACTTGTGCAATGTTTTGGTGCATCTTATGGGATCCAAGTCCCGATGCAAACCTGTAGTCTCAATCAGACACCCTGTTGACCTTTCAGGCAAGCTTTCTAAAAAAATGTATAATGTGCCTCCTATATGTATCTGTATAGAAAACATTATCTGTTCATTCCAAATAATATTCATGTATTCATATTCAGGTACATCCCTCATGTGTACAGAATAAATTACACTGAGAAATTAAGCAAACTCTCTTTCTGTGGTGAGGGTAGAGTTGTCCTAAAGCTGAACCTGGGTGTGTGTGGGAATGAGAGAGGGAAGATGTGTGCATAGGCATAAATGTATAAAAATGTGTACATGCAGAATGTACGGGGTGTTTGTATGAGGTGTTGGTTAAGCTTTCAATGGAACTTGCTCTCACATTCTTAAGTATACTCCGTGTAAAACCTGCTTATGACATTATCCCTCCCTGCCAACAGAAGCTGTGCTCTCCTGAGTTCTAGCACGGCCTCTGATCTTGATTTCCTGTTTGCTTCACCATTTCATGTATATAAGCTCACAGTTTTCAGCATCTCTTTGCAAAGTCTCACCAGTTCTGGTATCTAGACCCCTTGCCTATTCTTCTGACTAATCATTGAATTATGCTCTAATTCTGTCATTTGTTGCCTGGTCATGTTTTGACCCTTGCCTGCCTGATCATTTTGGATAGACTGTTTTGATACTGACAATAAAGCCTTCCTGCATATGGATCTAAATCTTCTCCTGAGTCCAGTAGGTTACAGTCACATTCATACAAAATGCCCTGAGATTGATATAAATTACTTTCAAATTCAAATGAAATTATTTTAAACTTTATATATACAAAATAATTTATACAAAATATTTCAAATTGTGCATTAATGCTTTTACATAAAATACCTTGAAATACTCTCATATGCTCTCACTACTACAACTATTACATCTACAAAATGCTCTAATTCAATACTATTAAAACCACTAAATGTTCTCACATTCACTGCTACACTTCTCATATACAACAAAACTCACTATTAACACCAGTCTTGTGTGTGATTGAGGGAGTGTACATAAAGAGGTGTTTTTAAAGATTAAAACTGACCTCAATGTGTAGTTGAAGCATTTTTTTTAAATCTTTTCTTTAGTCAAGTTATTAGGATCAGATTTACATAATGAGTCAAAATTCAAGAGGACATCATGATTCACTGCAGCTCAAAAGCTAGCGAGTCTTTCACTTCTTTCACTCAACCACACACATAAACACACACACACGAACACCAAGACAAGCTATGCTCCCAGAGCTCCATGAGCTCCCATGTCATTGTGATGAATATCGTTATTTATTTGCATCACAGCGATCAAAGGCCAGCACTATAAGTAGAGACGCAGCAAAACACGCTACACCAGCTCTGCTCAAACACTTCACAAGCAATTAGGGCCATGGTGCTGTTCGCTAATGATCACTGAACTTGTGCAGCTGCTGCACTCTCATAATAGCCTTCATCATCTCGATATCTGGTCTCTGTCCAACAGAGCCACATTAGAAAGCATGATTTTTAGGGCAGGCTGATTTGTCATGTTGGATTTGATGAATGAATTAAATTCATTCCTTACATGAACTGAACTGGACTGTCATACGGTACCAGGTCAGTCAATGACTAAAATGTACAAGACTCATTTCAGCTAGTGAAGGCCTAATAAATAGTAAAATGCTTACACATTTCACATTGTTTTCAAAATGGTTGTCAAATTCCTTTAAAATCTGATTTGCATTTTACTTACATCAAAGTCTCATTATTTACAAGAATAAAATATATTAAATATAATATAATTTAAAATATTAGTTAACCTGTAATTTTCTATTACACAATCAGAATAAATTTAAGCAGTAGCACTATACTCAGTATAGTGCGCTGATTTACTACGATGCCAAGTAATGAATACAAATTTGAGGGTTAAGTAAACAAATTGTGCATGGCTAATAAACGTGTTGAGGGGGATTTTACAAAGAATAATTGCATGAATGATGTCACATGCAAAGTAGCTGGAGGAAACATTATTTAAAAGAGATATTACCATGTTTGAGAGCCAGATCTGCTGTACATAGAGTGGGGTCCAAAATTCAATTCAATTCAATTCAATTTTATTTGTATAGTGCTTTTAACAATGGACATTGTCACAAAGCAACTTTACAGAAATATATAAGTTTCAGATATAAATTGTAGTTTTATACATTTATCCATAATTAGCAAGCCAGAGGCGATGATGGCAAGGAAAAACTCCCTGATATGAGGAAGAAACCGTGAGAAGAACTAGACTCAAAAGGGAACCCAGCTTCATCTGGGTGACACCAGATAGTACAATTGCAAATAATTTCCCTTCTATAACTGTGTACTATATAGTCAAAAAGTAGAATTGTATAACCAGGAACCTATGTGATTGTGAGCAACTTCTGAATATAAGCATCAGAGTTATTTCTGAATTCATTATAGTTTTAACATGAAGTCTGTTTTGCTGAAGTTATCAACTGCTCAATGCAAAAAGACTTGATTGCAAAATACAAAAAGAATCAATGCAAAAAGACTTGAATGCAAAACTCTTCATAGCAATTGCAGTCCTAATTCCATAGAGCAGAAGGGGTCAGGATCACTGGTATCTCAATAGTAGCATGTGTAGCTCGACAGAGAGAGAGAAACACAGATTATTAGGTATGCCCATTGTCGCATAATGCTCAAAGACAACGCATATTGTATGCAGAGTGCTAGCAGTTCACCAAAACTCTCTATGCCTTTGAACCCTCCAGATCTGCTCCATTACCTCCTTTACTCCTTTAAAAAAAGAGTGCCAAACACTAATTGGAAGGTTGTTCCATAACTGTGGGGCTTTGGAAGAGAAAGCTCTGCCCCTGCTGTTGCCTTCAATATTCGAGGTACCAACAAAGAGCCTGCACCTTTTGATCAAAGTAGGCGTGGCAGATCAGACCAGAAGTTCACTCAGATACTGCAGCGTGAGACCATTCAGTGCTTTATAGCTCAATAGTAGTATTTTATAATCAAAGCGAAATTTGACTGGGAACCAATGCAGTGTGGATACAATAGGTGATGTTGTCATATCTTTTTGTTTCTATTAAGGACTCTAGCTGCTGCATTCTGAACTAACTGAAGCTTGTTTATGCACCTATTGGAACATCCAGACAGTAAGGCATTACAATAATCCAACCTAGAGGTAACAAAAGCATTAGAACTAGTTTTTCTTAATTATGTAATGTAATGACATTATATTTTTTATCTTAGCAATATTTCTGAAATAAATGAAGGCTATTTTAGTAATATTATCTACGTGAACTTCAAATAAAAGACTAGAGTCAATATCACACAAAGGTCATTTACTGCTGCACATGATGAAACAGAAAGGCCATCCAAAATTACTATGTAATCAGAAATCTTCCTTCCAGATGCATGTGGTCCTAGTTCAAGTATTTCTGTCTTGTCATAATTAATTAAAAGAAAGTTAATAAGCATCCAATATCTAATGTCTTTTACACATCCCTCAACTTTATTAAGCTGGTGTCACTCATCTGGCTTTGCTGAAACATACAACTTTCATTAGTGTCATTAGTGAAACTAATACCATGTTTATGAATAATTTTACCCAGAGTTAACATATATAAAGAAAAAAAGCAGTGGGCCTAAAACAGAACCTTGTGGAACACCAGACTTTTCCTTAATATGCATAGAGAAGTCATCATTCACACATACAAATTGATAATGATCACTCAAATAAGACCTGAGCTAGGAGAGGGCCATTCCCTTAACTCCAACATCTAGTCTATCAAGGAGAATAGTACGATCAATAGTGTCAAAAGCTGCACTAAGGTCAACCAACAAGCAAGGAGAAACAACCCTGATCAGAGGCCAGTAGTAGGTTATTTACCACTTTAACCAGCACTGTCTCTGTGTTATGATGAGGCCTAACTGATATATTTCATGAATGTTATTTCTGTGTAGGTATGGGTATAACTGCTATAACCTTTTCACTACACCACATGTATGTAATATGTATGTGAGAAATAAAGAACCTTGAATCTTGATCTTGGAGATAAAGGAGAAGTTTGATATTGGCCTATAGTTGGACAGCTGACAGGGGTCGAGGTCAGGTTTTTTAATTGGGGGTTTGACAATTTCTAGATTTAGGTACATAGCCAGTGCTATGGGAAAGATTGATTATTTTTAGAAGAGGTTCAGTTGATAGTACACAAATTGATGATTTTGATGAGGAAATTAGTGAAATTAGATTGGTCTCACGAAGGGGAGTAAAGCATTCTAATTGCTGATCTGATATAGTTATATTATTATCTACAGGGTTAGTTACAAATTGTAAATTTATAGTCTGAATTTTTACTTTCAATTTTGTCATTGAAAAAGTTCGTGAAGTCATCGCTACTACATATTGATGGAGTGCATGTTTCTGTCATGGTCTTATTTCTAGCTAATTTTGCTACAGTATTAAATAACAATCTAGTATTATTTTTATTATCTTCTATTCGGGTAGAGAGATAAGTTGATCTAGCAGCACTTAGAGATTTTCTATATCTCAGGAGGCTCTCCTTCCATGCTGATTGAAATACTTCCAATTTAGTAATATTACCGA